CCTCCTGCTTTCCCAGGCTTGGGTGCATTCCTAGCTGTTTTTCTCGAACTTGTTTGTTTCACCCTCAAGGACGAGTTACCCCTGCCATCTGCCCAGCTGAGTTACTCCCTATCTATATATGTTACTATCTCCAGAGCCTTGCTTGTACACTGCATTCCCAGCTGCGTTCCCTGGACTGTGTCTGTACGTTCCCAGGGGACTGTGGCCTAGCTCTTTTTGGCCTTCCCCAGGATTATGTCCCTGCTCTCTTAGCCATTCTCCAACAGAAGGGAGAGCCACCCATGGGGTTAAGGCGCTGGGGCGAGTGTGATGTCTCCTCTGCCCATCCTAACCAGGGATCCTGGCTCCAGCATTTGCCCGTACACCCTCTCCTAGGGCACTGTGCTGTGGCACTGTGGGTACTGATGTTTGGCCAGACACCCTCTCCCAGAGTGCTGTGCCAGCTGGGAATGGAGGTGTTTTGCAGTGCACCTCAGTGCTGCAGTGCCATGGCATGGTCCCAGCTGGACTCTCAATGCCATTGGGGCAGGATGACAGTGTCTTGTGCCCCAACAGCTGCTGCAGAAACTGAAGGAGGATGAGGAAGAGGAGGAGCGGCCAGCGGCGGAGCTGGGCAGCTTGCGTAACACCGACTGGGTACGGTGGTGTGACTGGGCACAGGGGCCATGGTGAGGATGAATGGACACTGACCCAGTGTCTGTGTCCCCCCCCAGGCCCGGCTGTGGGTGCAGCTGATGCGGGAGCTGCGGCACGGTGTGAAGCTGAAGAAGGTGCAGGAGAAGCAGTACAACCCACTGCCCACAGAGTACCAGCTCACCCCCTTCGAGATGCTCATGCAGGACATCCGCGCACGCAACTACAAACTCCGCAAGGTTATGGTGAGTGCAGTCACCATGCCAGCCCCTCACCCTGCCACCCTGCCACCCCCAGCCTGGCACTGACCCTCTTGCCCTCCCCAGGTGGATGGGGACATTCCCCCCCGGGTGAAGAAGGATGCCCATGAGCTCATCCTTGACTTCATCCGCTCACGGCCCCCTCTGAAGCAGGTGAACACTGGCACC